GCCCGGCCCCTTCTCGGCTCGCTTGCCTCTGCGTGCAGGCGAGGAGGGGGCGGGAGTCTCTGGGCAGCTGCTCCCGCTCGGCTGCCTCAGAGGTCATTCCCCACGCCGGGTGAGGGAAGCGCGGCACAAGCGGAGCTAGCTGAGGGGGAAACCCCCCGTCCCCGAAGAAGGGCGCGCAGCTTCCCCAGCCCAGGCCACGCTGGGTGAGGGAAGCGTGATGCAGCCTCCTCGTCCTCGGCACCTCCCGCCCACCGCAGCCTCATCTATCTCTCCACTGGCCGCTTGCCGCCCGTTTCGGGGCCGTGTGGGCCAAGGCGGTGAGGCTCGTCCCCCCCCCAATAGCATGCCAGTTGGCCCAAGTGGCAGCCAACGGGCAAATGGCTGAGGGAGCGCATTTTTTCCCGCCACCCCATAGGATGGTGGCCACCCCAAAACACAATTATTATAAGGAGAGATGTGATTTATAATCCACCTTTCAAGTAGATAAATAGGTACCCCTTCAGTGGGAAGAAGGTAACAGCGTTCCGTGCGCCTTGGTGTTTAGTCGTGCCGGCCACATGACCACAGAAATGTCTTCGGAAAGCACTGGCTCTTCGGCTTTGAAACGGAGATGAGCACCGCAACCCTAGAGTCGGACTCGACTGGATTTCGAGCAAGGGAACCTTTACCTTTACCTTTTCCTCATGAGTGAGTCAAACGCAATCAACAGGATGGGACACTCGATAAACAACGCAACAGGATGTGGGGTGCAGAACCAACCAGAAATCTCAAAAACAGAACCGAAGCAAAATACGAGTATTAACGCGACACATTACATGATGCAAAAATGACATCGTAGCAAGGCTTTTTTCCTGCGGGAATGTGCCAGGATGGAGTCTGAGAACCTGCATATACTTTTCAGTATACAGACCGAAAACTTCATTGCTCTCTTGAGAGTTCCAGCAACTCTTTTTCCAGAAAAGGAAAAAAAAAAAAGCCCTGTGTAGTAGCAATGCTATCCTCTAAGCTGTGGAGTCTTGTGAGCAAAAATTCTACTTTGGAAGCTCCTGGCATTAAAGTGGTGAGTGAGTGATTTGGCTGCTGCATAAACTAGTTTGCTCTGGAGCCACATCCTTCCTGAGCTGAGACAAGAATGTGTTGAGTTCAACATTTGTACAAATAGAGAATTGGCCAAAAAGACTCACACAACCATTTTTAACTTTAAAAGGGGTAACTTCTCTGATATGAGGGGACACATGGGGAGGAAACTGAAAGGAAAAGTAGAAAGGGTCAAAACAATTGGGGAAGCTTGGAAACTATTTAAAACTACGATCCTAGAAGCTCAAAAAATATATATTCCGCAGGTTAGGAAAGGCACAAACAGGTATAGGAAAAAGCCTGCATGGTTAACAAACAGAGTAATGGAGGCTGTAAAAAGTAAAAAGAATTCCTTTAAGCAGTGGAAAGCTAGTCACAGTGAGGCTGATAAAACGGAACACAGGATATGGCAAATAAAATGCAAGTCTGAGGTCAGGCAGGCAAAAAGGGAACATGAGGAGCATATAGCAAAAAACGTAAAAACCAACAATAAAACTTTCTTCAAATACATTAGAAACAGGAAACCAGCCAGGGAGGCAGTGGGGCCCTTGGACGACCAAGGGGTAAAAGGAGTATTGAAGGATGATAGGGAAATGGCTGAGAAGCTAAATGCATTTTTTGCCTCCGTCTTCACTGTGGAAGATGAGAAGTGCTTGCCCACTCCAGAACCACTGATTTCAGGAGGGGTGTTGAAAGACCTGAGTCAGATTGAGGTGACGAGAGAGGAGGTCCTAAAACTGATAGACAACTTAAAAACTGAAAAATCACCAGGCCCAGATGGCATACATCCGAGAGTTCTGAAAGAACTCAAATGTGAACTTGTAGATCTCCTGACAAAGATATGTAATCTTTCCTTAAAATCTGCCTCCATTCCTGAGGATTGGAAGGTAGCTAATGTCACTCCCATCTTTAAAAAGGGTTCCAGAGGAGATCCGGGAAATTACAGGCCAGTCAGTCTGACGTCGATACCGGGTAAATTGGTGGAAACCATTATTAAGGAAAGAATTAGTAGGCACATAGATGAACAAAACCTATTGAGGCAGACTCAGCACGGTTTCTGTAAGGGAAGATCTTGTCTCACTAACCTGTTAGTGTTCTTTGAGGGGGTGAACAAACATGTGGACAAGGGGGATCCAATAGATATTATTTACCTTGACTTCCAGAAAGCTTTTGATAAAGTTCCTCATCAAAGGCTCCTAAGTAAGCTCAAAAATCATGGGATAGAAGGACAAGTCCTTTTATGGATCAAAAACTGGCTAGTTCATAGAAAACAGAGAGTGAGTGTAGGTGGGCAATTTTCTCAGTGGAGGGTGGTAAGCAGTGGGGTACCGCAGGGATCAGTACTTGGTCCACTGCTTTTTAACTTGTTCATTAATGATTTGGAGATGGGAGTAAGCAGTGAAGTGGCTAAATTTGCGGATGATACAAAGTTGTTCAGGGTGGTGAAAACCAGTGAGGATTGTGAGGCACTCCAAGGGGATCTGTCAAGGATGGGCGAGTGGGCGTCAACATGGCAAATGGGGTTCAATGTGGCCAAGTGCAAGGTGATGCACATTGGAGCCAAAAATCCTAAATATAAATACACATTGATGGGGTCTGAACTGGCAGAGACTGAGCAAGAGAGAGATCTTGGAGTTGTAGTGGATAACTCACTGAAAATGTCGAGACAGTGTGTGACTGCAATAAAGAAGGCCAATGCTATGCTGGGGATTATTAGGAAGGGTATTGAAAACAGATCAGCCAATATAATAATGCCCCTATATAAATCAATGGTGAGACCTCATTTGGAATACTGTGTGCAGTTCTGGGCACCACACCTTAAAAAGGATATTATAGCTTTGGAAAAAGTGCAGAAAAGGGCAACTCGAATGATAAAAGGGTTGGAACACTTTCCCTATGAGGAAAGGTTAAAGCGCTTGCAGTTCTGGTCACCACACCTTAAAAAGGATATTATAGCTTTGGAAAAAGTGCAGAAAAGGGCAACTCGAATGATAAAAGGGTTGGAACACTTTCCCTATGAGGAAAGGTTAAAGCGCTTAGGGCTCTTTAGCTTGGAGAAAAGACGACTGAGGGGTGACATGATCGAGGTTTATAAGATTATGCATGGGAAAGAGCAGGTAAAGAAAGAGGTACTTTTCTCCCTTTCTCACAATACAAGAACTCGTGGGCACTCCATGAAACTGCAGAGCGGTCGGGTTAGAACGGATAAAAGGAAGTACTTCTTCACCCAAAGAGTGATTAACACATGGAATTCACTGCCACAGGAAGTGGTGGCGGCTACAAGCATGGACGGCTTCAAAAGGGAATTAGATAAGCATATGGAGCAGAGGTCCGTCAGTGGATATTAGCCACAAGGTATAGCTAGGGGCTCTGGGGCAAGTGATGCTCTGTCTTCTTGGTGCTTGGGGGGGGGTCAACAGTGGGAGGGCTTCTAATGTCCTGGCCCCACTGCTGGACCTCCTGATGGCACTGGTATTTCTGGCCACTGTGTGACACAGAGTGTTGGACTGGATGGGCCTTTGGCCTGATCCAACATTGGCGTCTCTTATGTTCTTAATGTGTGAGCCGGAGGCTAAAAAACTGTGGGCTAGCTCACACTAACTCAGCTTAGAGGGAACACTGCATAGTAGCAGGGGCCATCTCCTGCAAGAGCACACAGGAGCGGAGCTCCGGCCGTAAGGAGCCCAGGGGGCGGGCACATGCAACAAGCCCCACCCCCTGCTCCCAGCGGCCCTCAGTCGGGCCACGAGGAGCAAGAAGCAGCCAGGAAAGTTGCAGAGCCCCCCCCCCGGCCCGCCTTCAGGTACAAGCTCCCCCTCCTCTGTGAGGACAGATCTGCACGTCCCCCCCCAATAGCTAGCAATCCAAAACAGTCCAGTGGAGCCTGAGCGGTGGGTGTTGCCTTCTGACACACTTCCGCTGATGTCAGGGGGGTTGGCACATGCAAATAAGTTATGCTAATGAGTTATGCTAATGAGTGCCTGCACCTCTTTTTCTACTAAATGGCCCCTGGGCCTGGCCAACAACTGGGTCACAATAAATGGGACGGCACCCAACAAAAAGATAATGCTTGGTGGTGGTGGGGAAATGCTGTCAAGGTGTAGCTGATTTATGGCCACCCCACAGGGTTTTCATGGCCGGAGAAGAACAGAGGTGGGGTGCCGTTTGCCTGCCTCTGCCTAGCAACCCTGGACTTCCTTGGTGGTCTCCCATCCGAGTACTAACCAGGGCTGACCCTGCTTGGCTCCCGAGATCTGACAAGTTCTCGCTAGCCTGGGCTGGCCAGATCAGGGCCATATAATGCTTAAAGGTTTAAAGGTAAAAGTTTCCCTTGCTTGAAAGCTAGTCGAATCTGACCCAAGGGGGCGGTGTTCATCTCCGTTTCCAAGCCGAAGAGCCAGCGCTGTCCGAAGATGTTTCCGTGGTCACGTGGCCGGCATGACTAAACGCCGAGGCACATGGAACGCTGTTACCTTCCCACCGAGGTGGTACCTATTTATCTACTTGCCATTTCTTGCTTTCGGACTCCTAGGCTGGCAGGAGCCGGGGTCAGAGACGGGCGCTCACTCCGTCACACGGCACTCGGGTCTTGAAGAAATTAACCCCTTCCCCAAAAGAAGTATTAAAACATATCCGTTCCCAAACGACTCACCAGGTTCTCTATGGACAGCTGGAAGTTTGTGATCTGCTTCAGTATTTCATTGTCTCTCTTGACTTCGTTCACACATTGAGCCAAATCCTGGGACAGAGAAATAAATGAAAGAGCCAGTTACGTGCTGGAACAGTTGCCAAGCATCAGAGACAAAAGCTTAAAATTATAAGCATGTTTAAAAGTAAGTAATTTAGTGTTTGTTTATCTGTATTAAAGCAGCCGTACAGTGAGCAGTGACTTGCTGGAAGTTCCAAATGCAATGTCCCCCTGTCTCGGATCTCTAGACTTCGTGGCAAGAGAGGCTAGATTGCTAGAGAGTCACACTGACCTTCCCTCCTGTATCTACTCTTCTGCCACTATCTCCTTTGAAATGCAGATTGTGTTCTCAGGGACCTATTTTCCCTTCCTTCTTCTCTCTCACTCTCTTCCTGCATGCAGCGAGAGAGACATGTGGTCCTCTCTTGGCATCATGCGGCAGATGGGCCTCTCACCATCTGCTTCCATCCTTTACATAGTAAGTTAGTAATCTATCATGGCCCTATCCAAAGTGTACTTCTCAAATAAAGAGAGGAGTATTTCTCTTCTGTACTTGCAAAGTGGCTCTGTGTAGCTTTGTAAGCTGAGTAACCTAGCAAAGTGATGCCGCTGCGTTTGTAGCTTTATTTAAGCATAAGAACATAAGAACATAACAGACGCCAATGTTGGATCAGGCCAAAGGCCCATCCAGTCCAACACTCTGTGTCACACAGTGGCCAGAGTGTGTCACACTCTGCTAACTAGTGGGGACCGGACCAAAAACACCAGTTAGCCACAATATGACTCACTCGACGACTTGGAAGTCACTCTGAAGAAGTCTGCGGTGACTGACGAAAACTCCTCCCCTGCCACAAATTCCGTCAGTCTTTAAGGGGCTCCTAGCTCTTTTCTACTCATACAGACATGCTTGCCACCAGTGTTCCCTCTAAGCTGAGTTAGTGTGAGCCAGCTCACTGTTTTTAGCCTCCAGCTCACACATTTTTGCCTTCACTCAGGAAGGAGAGCTCCAGAGCAAACTAATTTATGAAGTCTTAATAATGATATTAATTTGTTTGCTAATGATAAGTACATAAGAACATAAGAGACGCCAATGTTGGATCAGGCCAATGGCCCATCCAGTCCAACACTCTGTGTCACACAGTGGCCAAAGATACCTGGTGCCCTCAGGAGGTCCAGCAGTGGGGCCAGGACACTAGAAGCCCCCCCCACTGTTGCCCCCCCAAGCACCAAGAATACAGAGCATCCCTTGACCCAGAGCCCCTGATAGTTATTTGCCTAAGAGAGAAAGAGAGAGAGAGAGAAGTGGAAAGAAAGAATGAAAGAGGTGGAAGAAAGAGAGAGGGAGAGAAACAAAGAAAGCAAATAGATGGGAGGGAGGGAGGGAGGGAGGGAGGGAGGGAGAAAAAGAACGCCTCCCCTTGGCTTCCCCAGCCGCCCTGCCGGTTGCCACACAATGTGTGTGAAAGAGCCACATGTGGCTCCCTGTCTTATACCCTCCTAAGTTCCCTCCCCAGGGTCCACCCCCCAAATCACCAGGCATTTCCCAACCCAGAGCTGGCAACCCCAGAGATTCGAGGAAGGGAAGAAACCGGCCCTCTCCCTGGGCCCAACCTGTCCGCCTCACCCGCATGTCATCGAGCGCCTGCCGGAGGTTCTCCTTCTCCATCGGCTCCGTCGTGTATTTGATCAGCTCCTGGGGAGGGGGGAGGCAACAGAGAGAGATTACCCAGCCTGCATTGGGTGGTGTGTTTGGGGGGGGCACAGTGGCTCCGCTTTGCTAACATTCGTGGCTCTGCATCGCCACTGAGGTCCAAAAACCACAACGTGGGCCCACGTCGCTTGCCGGAAAGAGTAGCTGAATCTTGCGTAGAATTCTGATTCGGTCAGCACAAAGAGGAGGACGTGTCGGAGGAGAGAGTCATAGTCAACAGGAAGGAAGAGCAAAGCCACACAGACAGGGAAGCCCGGCCGAAGGCATCCCTGGGAGAACAGGCCTCCCCGGCTCTCTTCCTCCTTTGCTTCCTCTCCGCCTCTCTGACCCGCGAGATCGAGAGAAAAAGAGGCACCCCCGGCAACGGACGGGGAATTTCCCCAGCGTGAGCTGAACTAGAGGGCACGAGAGCTGCACATCGTCTCACGCTTCCAGGGTCGTATTCTCCCCTCCCCTCCCCCAAATAGCAAGACAGGGGGGGGCTACCTGCAGGAGCAAGTGGTACTTCAGTACCCGCTGCATGGGCACCATGAGGAGGTCGCGCAAGCTGAAGCGGCCGTTGTTGGCTCGTTGGGAACATTCCTGAAAGGCAAAACAAAAGTGGGGACTTAGGAGATGAATGTTGCCTTCTACTGAATCAGACCCTCAAAGTCAGTATTGTCTGCTCAGACTGGCAGTCGCTCTCCAGGGTCTCAGGCAGAGGGTCTTCCCCATCACCTCCTGCCTGGTTCTGTTTTAAGAGGAGATGCCAGAGGATTGAACCTGGGACCTTCGGCATGCCAAGCAGAGGCCCCACCGCTGAACCACAGCCCCGCCCCAATAAATACACACATGAAGCTGCCTTCTACTGAATCAGACCACCAGTCCATCAAGGGCAGTATCGTCTACTCTGACTGGCAGTGGCTCTCCAGGGTCTTAGGCGGAGGTCTTTCCCATCACCTCCTGCCTGGTCCTTTTTCACTGGAGATGCTGGAGATTGAACCTGGGACCTCCTGCATGCCAAGCAGAGGCTCCACCACTGAGCCACAGCCCCTCTTTACAGCTCTCCAGGGTCTCAGGCAGAGGTCCTTCACCTCACCTACTGCCTGGCCCTTTTATCTGGAGATGCTGGGGATTGAACCTGGGACTTCCTGCATGCTATCCTCTCTCTGGTGTCTTAGGTAGAGGTCTTTCTCATCACCTCCTGCCTGGTCCTTTTAACTTTAGATGCCGGGGATTGAACCGGGGACCTTCTGCGTGCCAAGCAGAGGCTCTTCCACTGAGCCACATCCACTCCCCTAAATGTTGCTGTAAAAGGGTGCATTCCTTCCTACGGAGTCATGGTGACGGCTGCCTTCCCTTCTGCTAGAGCTGCCAACCTTCAGATGAGTCCTGGAGACCTGGAATTTTTACTGATCTGCCAACCACAGGGATCCAAAAAATGACGGCTCTGGGCAGTGGGCTCTATGGCAAGACATCCTGCTGAGATCCCTCCCCTCCCCAGGCTCTGCCCCCCAAATCTCAGGAACTTCCCCAACCTGGAGTTGGCAACCCTACTCTCACATGGAAGGATTGTTCTATTCAGTGGCTGGAGCCAAAGGATATATTTTGCATGGAAGACGGACACGCAGCTCTTCTGATCTTAGCGCTGCTTCTTCAAAAGAGCGAGATCGGACAAGAGCGGCCTAACCTGGCCCATCCAGGTCAGGGCAAGAGACGTTCAGAGGTGGTTGGCCATGGCCTGCCTCTGCATAGCAACCCTGGGCTTCCTGGGTGGTCTCCCATCCAAGTACTTGGAATCTGGGCCGACCCTGCTTAGCATCTGAGATCTGATGAGACTGGGCTAGCCTGGGCCATCCCGGTCAGAGCAAGAGATGAACAGCAGTGGTGTGCCATGGCCTGCCTCTGCGTAGCCACCCTGGACTTCCTTGGTGGCCTCCCATCCCAATACTAACCAGGGCTGACCCTGCTTAGCTTTCGAGATCTGACGAGACCGGGCTAGCCTGGGCCATACAGGTTAAGACAAGAGATGTTCAGAGGTGGTTGGCCACTGCCTGCCTCTGCGTAGCCACCCTGGGCTTCCTTGGTAGTCTCCCATCCAAGGACTGACCAGGGCTGACCCTGCTTAGCTTCCGAGATCTGACGAGACTGGGCTAGCTTGGGCCATACAGGTGAGGACAGATATAAACAGAGGCGGTTGGCCACTGCCTGCCTCTGCGTAGCCACCCTGGGCTTCCTTGGTAGTCTCCCATCCAAGGACTGACCAGGGCTGACCCTGCTTAGCTTCCGAGATCTGACGAGACTGGGCTAGCTTGGGCCATACAGGTGAGGACAGATATAAACAGAGGCGGTTGGCCACTGCCTGCCTCTGCGTAGCCACCCTGGGCTTCCTTGGTAGTCTCCCATCCAAGGACTGACCAGGGCTGACCCTGCTTAGCTTCCGAGATCTGACGAGACTGGGCTAGCTTGGGCCATACAGGTGAGGACAGATATAAACAGAGGCGGTTGGCCACTGCCTGCCTCTGCGTAGCCACCCTGGGCTTCCTTGGTAGTCTCCCATCCAAGGACTGACCAGGGCTGACCCTGCTTAGCTTCCGAGATCTGACGAGACTGAGCTAGCTTGGGCCATACAGATGAGGACAGATATAAACAGAGGCGGTTGGCCACTGCCTGCCTCTGCGTAGCCACCCTGGGCTTCCTTGGTAGTCTCCCATCCAAGGACTGACCAGGGCTGACCCTGCTTAGCTTCCGAGATCTGACGAGACTGGGCTAGCTTGGGCCATACAGGTGAGGACAGATATAAACAGAGGCGGTTGGCCACTGCCTGCCTCTGCGTAGCCACCCTGGGCTTCCTTGGTAGTCTCCCATCCAAGGACTGACCAGGGCTGACCCTGCTTAGCTTCCGAGATCTGACGAGACTGGGCTAGCTTGGGCCATACAGGTGAGGACAGATATAAACAGAGGCGGTTGGCCACTGCCTGCCTCTGCGTAGCCTCTTCCTTGGTGGTCTCCCAGCCAAGATCAACCAGGATTGACCCTGCGTAGCTTCCGAGATCTGATGAGATCAGGGCTCGCCCGATCTCACCAGATCTCAGAAGCTAAGCAGGGTCCGCTCAGGTTAGTACTCGGGAGACCATCAAAGAAGTCCAGGGTTGCTGTGCAGAGGCAGCCAATGGCAGACCACCTCCGTTCGCCTCTTACCCTGACTTAGATCGCCCAGGCTGGCCTGAGCTCATCGTATCTCAGAAGCTAAGCAGGTTTGGCCCTGGTTGGAGGGGAGACCGCCCAGAAAATGGAGGGTCATTGTGCAGAGGCAGGCAATGGCAAGCCGCCTCTATTCTTCTCTGCCCGTGGAAACCCGACGGGATTGGCGTAAGTCCGCCGCAACCTAACGGCCATTCCCACCGCCAACATAAAAGCCCTGCAAAGGATCTCCAGAGAGGTGACAGCCAGCAGGCCAGTGTCTGAGCAGAGCGGCCCCCTCACCTCCAGCTTCATGCGCACGTCCACGCTGGCGCTGGTCACCTGGTCGAGGTGCTTCGTGGCCGCTTCCACCTGGCTGCAGTACCGGCCATACAGCAGGAACCTGCGGGTGTGGGGAAAGGAGGCTGGCGTAAGGGGGGACACGGAGCAAACAGACCCCTGGCGAACGGTGGCCTCTAAGGACCAAGCTACATAATACACCCGACAAGTGGGTCACAGGTGCGTGAGCCATGGCCCAACTCCCAGTCAGATGTAGGCTGGGGAGTTCACCTTAAAAAGCACTTGTTCACTCAGAAGAAGAAGAGAAGAGCCTGGATTGTTCACTCAGAAGAAGAAGAGAAGAGATACCAGTTCCAGTGTCCTGATATCTGGGAGCTTTGGTCTGAAAGCATTCCTCTGTGTGTTCAGGAACTTACAGAAAATGGCTGTGGCTTTGGTCATTGGTGCTGATTTCCCCCCGCCCCCCCAACACACTAAATTTTGAAAGGCAAATTGTTTCGGGGTTGCGGAGTTGCACTAGCATGGTGCTTGGGGGGGGGGCCAACAGTGGGAGGGTTTCTAGTGTCCTGGCCCCACTGCTGGACCTCCTGAGGGCCCCTGGTATTTCTGGCCACTGTGTGACACAGAGTGTTGGACTGGAGGGGCCACTGGCCTGATCCAGCATTGGCTTCTCTTATGTTCTTATGATTTATACCCCACCCTTCACTACCCGAAGGTGTCTCAGAGCGGCTGACAAACTCCTTTCCCTTCCCCTCCCCACCACAGACACCCTGCGAGGTAGGTGGGGCTGAGAGAGCTCTGGCAGAAACTGCTCTTTTTCAAGGACAGCTCTTATCAGAGTGGGGAATCCAACCCAGTTCTCCCAGATTGGAGTCCGCGCACTTAACCACGACACCAAACTGGTTCGGTGCTGCAAGGTGAGGAGAAATTCCCAATTTCCCTCCCATACCGCTTTCACCAGCTGAAAGGACAGTGGGCGGAGGGCTTTTTGCCCCGGGCACAAGAAGCCAGAGAAAAGACACCAAAGTCACCCCCCCCTCCACTGGCCAAAAGTGGGGCAGGAGAGAAACCAGACCTTCTCCCTCCTCAGACTGCTAAGGAAATGAGCACTTCTTAAGAAGAAAAAGAGATTGGATTTATACCCCGCCCTTCACTACCCCAAGGAGTCTCAGAGTGGCTTACAATCTTTTTTCCCTTCCCCTCACCACAACAGACACCCTGGGAGGTAGGTGGGACTGAGAGAGCTCTGAGAGAACTGTCCTTGAGAGAACAGCTCTGAGAGAACTTGTGAGTGACCCAAGGCCATACCAGCAGATGCACATGGAGGAGCGGGGAATCAAACCTGGTCCTACCAGATTAGGGTCCACGCACTTAACCACTATACCAAACTGGCTCTCAAGGTGATTTCCCCTGATGCATGCCTGACCGAGGATCTGATTGTGCACCCATGACCCAGCACATGTTGGGCATATGATGTAGTTACACCCTAAGGCAGGGGTGTCAAACATGCAGCCCAGGGGCCGGATCAAGCCCCCAGAGGGATTCTACCAGGCCCACAGTGGAACTGGCCATCTCCTGCTTCCAGTTCTGCTGCTGCTGCTGCATCATAGCTTGCTTTGCCAGACTCTCTTAATTGCTCAGCCATTCCATGTTTTAACCTGGGTCCTAGACTCAGAACTCTGAGCATGAGATTTCTGTGGTGAATGTCGATAAATCAAAAGTAGGTTTGCAGCTTACAGAGCTAATGTTTTAAGCATGTTTTTATTTAATTTTTTAAAAAACCATCTTTGTGTTTGTGTCCTTTATAAAGTTTATCTCTCCACTGCCTGGCATTACCTTTTATGACTCACATGGCCTGGCCTAATGAGGTCTCATTTATGTCAGATCCGGCCCTCATAACAAACGAGTTTGACACTCCTGCCCTAAGGCATATCCCACAGGTATTGGGGTGCGAGGGGAGGAGGGTTGCGTCACTTCAGAGTATCACACACGGGGCAGAGAGAGTGGACAGGGAAAACGTTCCCCCCCCTTTCCCCAAAAATATTTATTGATTGATTTCAAAGTTAAACGTTTAGACTGCCCTTCCCTGTACACACAAGGCTCAGAGCAGCGAACTACAACAAAACACATTCATAAATATAAAACAATTCCAGAGTTCCACCAGGATGTAGAGCTGAAAAGGCCCTGGCAGGAAATGGGGCCCCCAGATTAGGTGGAACCCGTCGCTACCCTCAACCAAAAGCCTGGCGGAACCTCCCTGCCTTACAAGCCCTGCGGAACTGCATTAAGTCCCGCAGGGCACACACGTAATTCGGTAGAGAGTTCCACCAGGATGGAGGTAGAGCCAAAAAAGCCCTGGCAGGAAATGGGGGCCCCAGATGATGTGGAACCCGTCGCTACCCTCAACCAAAAGCCTGGCGGAACCTCCCTGCCTTACAAGCCCTGCGGAACTGCATTAAGTCCCGCAGGGCACACACGTAATTCGGTAGAGAGTTCCACCAGGATGGAGGTAGAGCCGAAAAAGCCCTGGCAGGAAATGGGGGGCCCAGATGAGGTGGAACCCATCGCTACCCTCAACCAAAAGCCTGGCGGAACATCCCTGCCTTACAAGCCCTGCGGAACTGCATTAAGTCCCACAGGGCACAGAGGTCATTCAGTAGAGAGTTCCACCAGGATGGAGGTAGAGCCGAAAAAGCCCTGGCAGGAAATGGGGGGGCCAGATGAGGTGGAACCCGTCGCTACCCTCAACCAAAAGCCTGGCGGAACATCCCTGCCTTACAAGCCCTGCGGAACTGCATTAAGTCCCACAGGGCACAGAGGTCATTCAGTAGAGAGTTCCACCAGGATGGAGGTAGACCCGAAAAAGCCCTGGCAGGAAATGGGGGGGCCAGATGAGGTGGAACCCGTCGCTACCCTCAACCAAAAGCCTGGCGGAACCTCCCTGCCTTACAAGCCCTGTGGAACTGCATTAAGTCCCGCAGGGCACAGAGGTCATTCAGTAGAGAGTTCCACCAGGATGGAGGTAGACCCGAAAAAGCCCTGGCAGGAAATGGGGGCCCCAGATGAGGTGGAACCCATCACTACCCTCAACCAAAAGCCTGGCGGAACACCTCTGCCTTACAAGCCCTGCAGAACTGCATTAAGTCCTGCAGGGCACAGACGTCATTTGGTAGAGAGTTCCACCAGGATGGAGGTAGAGCCGAAAAAGCCCTGGCTCTGATCAAGGACAGTCAGACGCCTTTCAGGCTGGGGATCACCAGATACTAGAATTTGAGGGCATCCAATGAACCTAATGGATAGAAAACTGATGATGAACAAAGGGAGTGCATATTTACACAATAGCTGACTAAAATCTGGAATTTGCCTCTCGAGGAGGTTGCGGCTGCTGTTAGCCATTCAGCTGTGTGATGGCCAAAGGCAGAGAGGGATTTAAATGGGGATTAGACAGATTCATTGAGGAGAGGAGTACCAGTGGCTACTAGCCATGGTGACTAAAGAGAACCTCCATGTTCAGAGGCAGTCAACCGCTAAATCCCAGTGTCGGGAGGCAACATCAGGGGAAGGCCTCAGCCTCTATGCTGGACTAGATGCTGGACTAGATGGACCCTCCCTGGTCTGACTCAGCAGGGCTCTTCTGAGGTTCTTGTCAGGGGAAGGCCTCGGCCTCTCTGACCTGTTGCTGGCCCTCCGGAGGAACTGGTTGAGGCCACTGTGTGAGATGGGATGCTAGACTAGATGGACCCTCCCTGGTCTGACCCAGCAGGGCTCTTCTGATGTCCTTATCAGGGGAAGGCCTCGGCCTCTCTGCCCTGTTGTTGGCCCTCCAGAGGAACTGGCTGGCCCCTGTGTGAGACGGGAGGCTGGGCTAGAGGGACCATCACTGGTCTGATCCAGCAGGGCTCTTCTGATGTTCTTCTCAGGGGAAGGCCTCGGCCTCTCTGCCATGTTGTTGGCCCTCCAGAGGAACTGGTTGGCCCCTGTGTGAGACAGGATGCTGGGCTAGAGGGACCATCACCGGTCTGATCCAGAACATAAGAGCATAAGTGTTGGATCAGGCCAATGGCCCATCTAGTCCAGCACTCTATCACACAGTGGCCAAAAATACCAGGGGCCCTGAAGAGGTCCAGCAGTGGGGCCAGGACACTAGAAGACCTCCCACTGTTGCCCCCCCCCCCAAGCACCAAGAATACAGAGCATCCCTTGTTTCAGACTGAGAGTTCCTATCTATGCCTTGTGGCTAATAGCCACTGATGGACCTCTGCTCCATCTGTTGATCCGATTCCCTCTTATAAGAACATAAGAGATGCCAATGTTGGATCAGGCCAGTGGCCCATCCAGTCCAACACTCTGGGTCACACAGTGGCCATAAATACCAGGTGCTCTCAGGAGGTCCACCAGTGGGGCCAGGACACTAGGAGCCCTCCCACTTTTGACTCCCCCCCGCCCCCAAGCACCAAGATGTGACACAGAGACTCACTTCTCTTTATACTTGATGAACACCTGATAGAGGTTCTGGGAGTTGGTAAAAGACAACGCGTTCTTCAGATCCACCAGGAAGCATCGATGAATCTTCAGGAGTTCCTGGAAGGGACGGAGGAGAATGCAAAAGGAATCAGGAATCAGCATAAGACTAAGAGCCAGAGGGGTGCAGAGGTTAGAGTAGGATCTGGGAGACCCAGGTTTGAATTCCGGCTCTGCCCTGGAAGCCGATCAGAGAGATAGGATCCTGGGGCATGGATTGGGGTCGGGGGCCTTGGGGTAAACGGTAGACTCCCTCAACGGCCTGGCAAAATACTCTGCAAAAGAGAGATCAAATTCTAAAAGTGACATCAGCAATTGGAGAACAGGCTATAAGGATTTTAAAGGATGTACCATTTGAAATTCATCAGAAGCGGAAGGCATATAAAGGTCTGACCACATTTTTGCAAAATCATCAAATTCATTACAGGTGGTTGATTCCAGAAGGACTGGTCTTTAAATTTAAAGACAAGAGAGAGAAGATAGACTCCATTTTCAAGGCACAAGACTTTTCGAAGAGACACGCCAGCTCAGAGGAAGAAGCAGAACTTGCTAAGTGGAAAGTTTTTAGCAGCGACGAGGACAGCAGCCCGGAGGGAGGAGACAGAGAACCGGAAGAAAAAGGAGCGGTAGGAGGTGCTTCCTACAACCTGAGAGATAAAAAAGGCAGACACCCCAACACCTGATGAACTTTTGAGAGTGCTTTAAAGGACAATACTAATAATAACCCAAAAGGACATTATTAATATAATTAACCTTTTTATTTTTGACAGGTAAAGAAGAAAGAAGATCGTCCATCCACAGATGAAGCTACGGAATGTATTAATACTAACAAAAGATTAATATACTGAATTACTCATCACTCACCACTATTCTTAATCCCTCTATATACCCTCCCTTCTTTCTGAAAATTTAAAAGCAATAAAATTATCTCCTTTTGAGGAGAGTTCATATATTAAAAAAATACTCTGCAAAAGAGTCGCACGTTCCATGGCATCAAATCTCTCCTACAGGGCAACAAAGCGCTGTCCGTTTCTCCGTGAGAAAGTGGCCATCAGCAACGCCGGCCATTTCCAAGCCCACTTTCCACCAATGGCAACCAATCACAGATTATGGCCCCCCCCATGTGAATCCATGTGCAGGCATGCGCAGAAGAGCCTCTGGGCCCCTCCGCCCCACATTCAGGGTCCTCCCTGCCCTCGCCTCTGCCCTGGGTTGCCAACAACCTGGAGGTCTTGGCTGTGGAACCTGGGGAGGGAGCAAAGCAGGGTATCATGCCACAGAGAGCTGGTTTGGTGCAGTGGTGAAGTACGCGGACTCTAATCTGGGAGAACCGGGTTCGATTCCCCCACTCCTCCTCCACTTGCAGCTGCTGGATGACCTTGTGCAAGCCATAGTTCTGTCAGAGGTGTTCTCTCAAGGACAGTTCTGGAAAGAGCTCTCTCAGCCCCACCTACCCCACAGGGTGTCTGTTGTGGGGCGGGGAAGGGAAAGGAGTTTGTCAGCCGCTCTGAGACCCCTTTGGGTAGTGAAGGGCGGGGGATAAATCCGATCTCTTCTTCTTCTTCTTTTACCTCACAGGGTGCCTGCTGTGGGGAGGGGAAGGGAACGGAGTTTGTAAGCCGCTCTGAGACTCCTTTTGGTAGTGAAAGGCGGGGTATAGATCCAATCTCTTCTTCTTCTTCTTTTACCTCACAGGGTGCCTGCTGTGGGGAGGGGAAGGGAACGGAGTTTGTAAGCCGCTCTGAGACTCCTTTTGGTAGTGAAAGGCGGGGTATAGATCCAATCTCTTCTTCTTCTTCTAGTTGTGAATTCCCTGCATTGTGCAGGGGGTTAGACTTGCTGACCCTGGAGGACCCTTCCAACTCTATACTTCTGTGCTTCTAAGTCTCTAGCCAAGGACCGCTGTACCTTCCTACAAAACAACCAGGATGCCAATATATGCTTTGCCGTCTCTGGTGAGGCACCGGTTCTGTGGCAATACAAAGCAAGTCCACTCGGGAGGAATTTTGTCCCACAGAAACAGACTTGGGTAGACTCTCATAAGCGACCGAGGAGGCAGGGTCCGCGTGGTTACGCCTTGCAGATGAATCACACCCCGCACGTAACACTGAGGCGGGAGGGAGGCGAGCACACAGAGAGCGGAGGGAGGGAGGAAGTCTAGGCCGCAAGCGCAGCAGAACAGGCCGCTTAGCAGGCGGGAGGTTAGTACAGTTACAAAACCTGGTCCTGGTCTGTTTGGCATAGGCGATCGGTGCAGTTGCCCGCCTCCAGGTGGGACTTGCAAAGAAGGGACTACACTTAGGTACAAAAAACCAAAGGCACAGATATAAAATGAGAGGGACTTGGCTTGACAGCAGCACCTGTGAAAGGGACCTGGGTGTTCTGGTTGATCACAAGCTAAAGATGAGCCTGCAGTGCGGTGTGGCTGCAGAGAAAGCGAATGCAGATCTTAGGATGCATTGACAGAAGCCTTGTGTCCGGATCACGGGAGGTGGTAGTTCCGCTCTGTTCTGCTATGGTCAGGCCTCCCCTGGATCCTGTGTCCAGTTTTGGGCACCACATTTGAGGAAGGATGTTGACAAGCTCGAGCGTGTCCACAAGAGGGCAACCAGGATGGTGACAGGGTTGGAATCCAAGTCTTAGGAGGAAAGGCTGAAAGAGTAGGGTATGTTTAGCCTGGGAAAGAGAAGGTTTAGAGGGGACACGATTGCAGTCTTCAAATATTTGAAGGGCTGTCATGTAGAAGGTGGAGCAGATTTATTCTGTCTTGCTCCGGATTGCAAGACTAGGTCTAATGGGTGGAAATTACAAGGGGGTCGATACCGGCTAAATATCAGGAGAAACTTCCTAACTGTCAGAGTGTTTGAGCAGTGGAACAGTCTGCCTCGGGAGGTGGTGGGTGCTCCTTCACCGGACGTTTCCAAGCGGAGGCTGGACGACCATCTTCCGGGTATGTTGTAGGGCTATTTTTCGGCTGTGCTCCTGCAGAGTGCAGGGGGCTGGACTAGATGACCTGCATTCTATGATTCTATGAATGCGAAGATACCGCCTCTGTTCCGACTTGTATCTGACAAAGGGAGTTTTGACTCTCAAAAGCTCATTCCTCCCCCCCTCCCCGAAAAACCCTGTTGGTCTCTCTAAGGTGGTGACGGACTTGAATCTACCTGTTCTCCTCCAGACCAACTTACCTACCTCCTGAAAACAGGATAAAATCTGTCAGTCAATCAGTAAGCAGATTACAACATGCAGGAACATTGGGCAATTGGTGAGGCGAGCATAGGATACAATAACACTTAAGAACCTAAGAGAAGCCATGTCGGATCAGGCCAGTGGCCCACCCAGACCAGCACTCCATGTCACACCGTGGCCAAAACTCAGGGGCCATCAGGAGGTCCACTGGGGGGGGGGCAGGACTCCAAAAGCCCTCCCACTCTTGCCCCTCCAAGCACAAAGAAGACAGAGCATCACTGCCCCAGACATAAGAACATCAGAGAAGCCACGTTTGATCGGGCCAATGGCCCAGCCAGCACTCTGTGTCATACCATGGTCAAAACCCAGGGGCCATCAGGAGGTCCCCCAGCGGGGCCAGAATTCCAGAACCCCTCCCACTGTTGTCCCCCGGAGCACCAAGAAGACAGAGCATCACGGCCCCAGACATAAGAACATCAGAGAAGTCATGTTGGATCAGGCCAATGGTCCAGCCAGTCCAACACTCTGTGTCACACAGTGGCCAAAGCCCAGGGGCCATCAGGAGGTCCACAAGTGGGGCCAGAACTCCAGAAGCCTTCTGACTGTTGTCCCCCCAAGCACCAAGAAGACAGAGCATCACAGCCCCAGACATAAGAACGTAAGAAAAGCTATGTTGGATCAGGCCAATGGCCCATCCAGTGTCATACAGTGGCCAAAATTCAGGGGTCATCAGGAGGTCCCCCAGTGGGGCCAGAACTCCAGAAGCCCTCCCACTGTTGTCCCCCCCAAGCACCAAGAAGACAGAGCATCGCAGCCCCAGACATAAGAACGTAAGAGAAGCCATGTTGGATCAGGCCTATGGCCCATCCAGTCGAATACTCTGTGTCACTCAGAGGCCAAAACCCAGGGTCCATCTGGAGGTCCACCAGCAGGGCCAGAATTGAATTGAACAATGCAGTTGGGCTGGGATTGTTAATTTTTGTGGATGTTTCTTCAGTGGGAAGAACTGTTTGGAGCTAGTTTTCCATGGCGATACTCGGGTACCCATCAGAGCGTGGGGAAGGGTACCCTCTCAGCCGAAGGGAGAGAGACAGGCAGACGCATGTGAAGAAGCAGCCATTGGAGTTGGAGAGGCAGGCAGAAAAGCAGACAGACTCGGCTTGGGAGTTGGCTAAAGCATCTTGGGCGTGCAAGTTCCCTGGGGGGGGGGGATGTGACGTGGGCTGGGGCCTGCAGCCTCACAGCTGTACTCCTCTGCCTGCCTCTGCGCTTCCCTTGCATATTTGCAAAGAAAGCACATTTTACAAATTGGGTCTCTCCCCTCCCAGGGGAACCAACCCAAGTAGGGCTATTTTGGGGCAGGAACGCACAGGAACGGAGTTCCGGCTGGCTTCAGAGTTGGCCATGCCCACTACAGCCAAACCCTCTGCGTGCCTGGCTACAGAGGGAAGGCCTGGAGAGCGACACACACACCTCAGCGACTCCGAGGCAGGTAGGCCGGGGGGGGGGGAGAGGGAGC